TCAATTCTGACTCCCATGCCCTCAGAAAGGGTCTCAGCTCTCAGCTTTGTCCCAGATTTCATAGCTGATCGTCAGCTGCTGCATAATCAACTTGCCTCACTGTTTTTACGCATACTGTTAAAGGATTTCCAGAACATGAATATGTTTTAAGGGAGAGGTCCCTTGGGAAAACTCAGGTTGTCACTCGCACACAATATATTTGTTGGTCACTGAGTGTGTACCCTCTTGGAGACAGGGATGCTTTTCAAATAGAAGCAGATGATGGCACCTTGGATTGTTTGACCCTGAGAACAAGTGCACTAGGGGGCTGGGGACAGGTCAGTAGCATCAAATTTGAAGCCACTTTAATTGGGTTAGGCCAAGGGGAGAAGGATGAGAGCCAAAGCAGAGGGATGAGATGAAGCAAAGAGATGGCTGGTACCCTGGGAAGAGGTGGGACCAGGCTATGGGGAACACATGGAGGCCACTTCTCAGAATCTTCCTTTAGTAAATAAGAGCAAGACTGTTGATATAAACATGGTTATGGAAGCGCCATTTAAAATAGTAAAAATTAAAAAAAACAGAAACAACCCAAATATCTAACAATAGACAATTGATTAAATAATTACAGTGTAATGTAATCATAGAACAAAATAAATAATAAATAGAAACTAAAAACAAAACATTATTTTCCAAAAATATCAAAAGGCAATATGCTAAAGATGTCATGTTGGTGAAAATACATCTGTCTGCGTGAGTCCCCTGCTCTCTGGCGCACTCACACCTCCACACACAGAAAAGAGGAGAGAAGCCAAGAGCATCAGCAACACAGCTCTCCGGAGGTGATGGTGCTGTGTTCTGTTTACTTTCCTTCTTATATGTCTACATCATTTTTAAATTCTCTGCAATCAATATAAAATCTATTTCTAACCAGGAAACAAAATTACAAACACATTCACACACATGCATGTACACTCACACTCCAAACACACGTGCATGTACACACACACACACACACACACACACACACACACACACAAAAGATACCGTTTCCTTTCCTATTACCTGAATTTGGGAGGGGACAGGGTGGTGACGATGATGGTTTATTGGATCCAGATCTGCATGGGGCAGTTGCAGATGGAGGTTGTCCCCATCCCTGCAGACACAGGGATTGGGCAACAGGTGGAGAGTCTGGTTGTCTGAGGCAGCCAGTGCATCCTGGGTCATCTGTGAGCTCTTCATGGTGTCACAGGGCAGCAGGCAAGAGGTGGCCACTGAGAAGGGGGAGGAGCAGGCAGCCCAGGGCAGGTGTTCCCGTTTCCCTCCAGAGGTGCTCTTTCAGAGCCAGCCCACCCTCAGCCAGCCAAGGAGGGCCGTGCTATAAACAACACGTGGCCTGCTAGGAGCGGGTGGCCATATTGTGGTGCAATGTGGGGAGGATACGTCAAGCAGCAGCTGAACTTTCTCCCTGCCACCTCCATCCAGACGTGAAGGACTGTGGGAAGACTGTGGCCTACTTTTTGACGGAATGCTTCCGGTTAGTGGAGGAAAAGGGGAGTTTGGGCTCATTGCTTGCCTGGGAAGGCCCTTGTCTTTCAGGAAATGCTGCAACGTCTAATCCTAAATTTCTTCTGTAGAAACTTTTCCTAAATTCAGATTTCCTTTTCCTCCTTGAATCTACATCAGGTTTATTAGAAATTATGACTGAAGCACTCGACGCTGTCCCCAACAAGGCAGACATCTATCCTTAGGATTTGTAAACAGACATAACTATTGCCAGGAGAGTTGAGAATGATGTGTTCAGGACAGGGCATCGCCCTGGCAGCTTCCAGATAGGACGGTCACCTGTATGTGAGTCATGCCAGCTGTCCCTTTCCGGCTGTGCCTAAAAAGGCAGGTGGGTGGGCTGCAGGGAGCATGGGAGCTGTGAGGCAAATGGAAGTGAGCCCCACTCCCCTTCACTGCCACCCCAGGTTTAGTCTCGTAAGACACCTGAGCCCAGTTTATTGCTCTGCAAAATGGATCGGTCAATTGCTGGTTGTTTGAAGAGTGAATAAGGTGATAAAAATGTTAGGTGACCAGTGTGCAGCGGGCACTCAACAAACAGTCATCTGGCTTCTACCACCAGTGCGGGTGCTGGTAGGGAAAGCTGGTGGAGTCACCAAACAGCACAGTCTCCTTCACCTCCCTCAAACCAGCTGCTCTGGGCCACGCCCCACTGGTCAGGAATTTCAGGTGGAAGAGTTGGAGAACAATCTGCTGATTCCCAAACACAGTCTTTGCAACCTTTCAAGCACTGACAAATTATTAATAATAACATTACTAGTAATTACAGGAAAATAAATATAATAATAGCTATGTATAGATATCATGCCTTTACTCACTTTTAATCTCTAGAGCTTGCTACAGTCCAGTCTCCTCATTCACTCATCCATCCAACAATTCCTACTGGAATGTACTATGGGTCAGGTCAGTGGATATGCAGTGAACAAGGCTATACCTTTGTATTTCTTGTGAAACTACAATTTCAAGAGAGAGCAAATCGAGAGAGAGAGAGAGAGAGAACCCAAGGAGCATTGCAGTTGGTGTCAATGCTCTGCAAATGATAGCTGATGGTCAGACAGAGAATGCTGAAGTCAGAAAGAGCAGATTGGTGGAGACGTTGCTAGGTCAGGCTGAGGTGGGTGGGGAGCTCTTTCAGAGAAGGTGACATCTGAGCTGTAACTAGAATACTAAGAAGAGGCCACATGGAAGGATTTGGGAAAGAACTGACAGGAAGAGGGTGCAAGCCAGAGGGTGAGGAGGGGAGGGCTAAGAGCCAGGCAGGGGCAGCACGAGGTGGGCTGTGCGCTCACGGGTAGGGGACAACAGAAGGCCCTCTAGAAGAACAACGCTGGCCTCTGGGAGGCAGCAGAGGGAGGGAAGGAGAGTGATGGAGACAGGCCAGCTGCAGGCAGGAGAGGCGGGGAGTCTGTGCTGAAGGCCGTGGCGGAGAAGGGACCATGCAGATCCAGGCTCTGTGGTGGAAGCAGAGCAGATGGAAAATTCTTCTACGTTGTATACGTGGACCAGGCAAAGAGAAAACTCAAGAGCCCTCTGTAACTGTTAGAGGGCTCTAGCACTTCCTATATCTTTTCCTTCCTTTTGCCCAGGACCAAATCTCAGTGCCTTACGTGTGTCATTTCATTTAATCCAACCACTCCACTTCACAGACGAAACGCCCAGGGTCTTGTCAAAGGCGCACACCTCGTCTGGAGCCAGCATCTGCTTGGTGCCCTTTCCCGTGGACTTAGCTGCCATCTGGCTTTTCCATGCACACTTGGCTTTATAGTGTCCAATGGTAACTGTGGCTGTCTTGGCTGCCCAGGAAGCTCCTGACTCATCGTGTTCTGCAAATGCTGGAGGGAGCTGAGCTAGATCCTATGGGAAACTTTCATCCTAGTCCAGGTCAAGCCCCATCCTTATGGTTCATCCCTCCCAGAAAAGGAAGCACTCTTGTGTTATCAGACCCAGCTCTAGGAGCTGAGGTGAGTTCCATTATATGAGACTGGTAGGGAGCTCAGACACTGAAAAGTTGGCAGTGAATTGCATTGGTGATGGGCTGAGAGTTGGTGATGGGGTTGGCAGCAGAGTAGACATGTGCATGATTCAGTTGCACACCTTGCGTTCTAGGGTTTCGGAGACGTGGAAACATCACCGAGCTTTCACTCTCTCATCACTCTGCTGATAGGAAGGGAGAAAGCACCTGAAGTCACCCTTGACGCTGGGCGACAGTGAGAGACCATTGGAGGCCCAAGCGTAAGCTGGAGGTAGCAAGCACCAGGTGCTAACGAACCGGTCTCCAGACAACCGAGGGGCTCAGGGGCGCTGCAGGGTGGACAGCAGCTGTCTCAGTGCCTCCCGTCTCCCCTGGAGGCGGAGGCTCAAACCCAGAAGGCATGTGATCAGCCCAGCTTACAGGCCTGTTACAGCCCTGTCCTCCTAGACCTGACTTTGCACAAGTTTCTTTACCCTTCCCAGTCCCCATGTCATTGGTTGGGAGTGTTATTTCATACTTGGTTCACGTAGCATCCATGATGTTGATAAATGTATTGAGAATGTATTATTATGTGCCAGACCCTTTGCAAAGCGACAACACTACCTAGTTTTTAGCACATTAAAATGAGGTTCCTGTTTCTATACGGATTCTGTGGACCACTCACTACAGGCCAGGCATTTAACAGACATTGTAAATAAATCACAACCACCTGACGTGTCCATTCCCATCTCCACTGGAGAAATACAGCAACTGAGGCTCAGAGAGGCTGAGAAACTTGTGAGGAGTCACAAAGACTAAGTGAAGCCTGCCTTTTCCCACTGTATCTGTCATAAAAGTTGGGACTTGAGGAATGTGTTCCCATGTGTCCCATGAAGAATCCCTTTTTCAAGGCCCAGCTCACCCTAAGGCTTAACCACTCATTAGTGGGTTCTAATGCTCAGGATAACTTGTAGAAAAAGTTTACCACCAGACTTCTTAAAACATGGATTGCTCTCCAAGCCCCATTACAGTAAGCAGTAATCAGGTTTGCTCTGCTGGGCTCTACCCTCCTACAGGAACAGGCCCTCACGGTTTAGTTTCCTTAGAGGTGTGACTGGTCCGGTGAAAGCAAGCAATTCAAACACATCTCCACCTGCCTATAGAGCAGCAAAAACACTCACAGAGACCCAGACTTTGGAGAGAGGATCTGTGTGATCCCCAAAGCCCCACTGACTCGCAGGCCCCCTGCCCTGACCCCTGAGGACACCCACTGTGCCCCAGCTAGCTGCCCTTCCTGGCTGGGGCTCAGGCAACCTTCGTTCCCTCCTAAATAATGCATTGGCTGGTGTCTGGGCTTTGCAAATAAAGCACACTCGGAGAACAGGCATTTCCAAAGCTGCTTACTCTAAGGAGGGGAGGAAGAGAAAAAGTAGAGATCCAAGCAGTTGTTTGGCAGAGTTAAAGTAAATCGATAAGTGCAGGCCACCACCGGAGCAAAACTTACCCTGCTAGTCCCAGCTTCTCCGCCTCAACTGTGAAACTCTGTCACCAGGCAACAAGAGACTTGGGACCTGGAGGTCATTAGCATAGTCTTGACGCCAGCCTGCAAAGTGAGAGGACACAAGGCTGAAAGAGTCTCCAAGAAACTCAAATTTCTGACAGCCTGGCTTGCCTGCCCCCAGGCAGAGGGAACCCCAGGCCTCACCCACTGTGATTCCTGCATCTGGGCTTTTCCTCGGGTTGACCCAGCAGTCAGCAGGAGAGGATTAGAGGATGGGGCAGAGTTCCTGTCCATGGCAACGGCAGGGGGATGTGGCTACACAGAAAAGAAGCCACACGTCTCTCTTGAAAGGGACACATATTTCACTTTAATATTAATCCACTTTCTTCTAATTTGCAGTTTGAGCAAGTATTTTTTTTCTGCTCTTTGTCTTTGAGAGGGCTTTCATCTGTTTATTTGAATTTAATTATTTCTTACCGTTTTCTTTCTCTTTGCACCTTTTCTCCACTATTAAATCAGAGTAGCTACAATACTGATAAAATCATACAGCCCTGTAATCATATTCTCTCACTTGATCGTGTGTCATTAAATGCTGGTGTGTAGTTTCTGAAATCTGCGTCTTGAATGAACACACAGCAGTGAGTCTTGTGCTTTGCTTTTCCTTCTGTTTCCGGCCTGGCGTTATCATGAATAAGGCTGCAATTAATCTACTTGTGCATCTATGGTCTTTTATTTTTCAGTTTTTTTCTTACATTAAATTTCCAGAAATTGAGAAAAGAGCAAAACAAAGTAAGTATGAAAATTATTATGCAGATGATAAAGCATTGAAGAAAAATGAGAAGATGTATATACAGAAATAAGAAATTTAAATGCTCTAAATTTTTCCACCTAATTATACATTAGAAAATACATTAATTAGCAATTAAGTGAAATAAATAATTTCAAATCCAAAATTAAATTTAAGCGGTAAAAATTTTGAAAAGTACAAAAAATGCAAAATGAAATGACTTCAATTTAGAAATAAAAACAAAACAAATCTTATTAAATAAGAGAGAGTTAATTATAACATTTTTGAATATATAAACATTACCATATTATAAGTCCAAAAAATAAAATATGTAACTTAATTTAGACAGCAAATGGATTTAAATAAATTTGTGACTGAAGATGACTAAAAAATTAAAAATTGCCACAAATTCTACTACCCAGTATACTTCTAATTAAAATATTATAAATACATAATTTAAACTTGAAATTAAATAATATAAAAATCATAAAGCACATAAGCAAGAATAAAATCAATATCTAAAAGAGAAAAATATACAAGATAAATACATTTTAAAATATAGGTATATAAAACCTTATGAAAATTAAAAGCACTCATAATTTTGGCAACTGGCAATAACTTTGTATTGTATAAACTTTCAGATTATTAATTTTTTTGAGACATAGTTTCACTCTTGTCACCCAGGCTGGTATGCACTGCAACCTTCACCTCCCAGGTTCAAGCAGTTCTCCTGCCTCAGCGTCCTGAGTAGCTGGGATTACAGGTGCCCACCACCATGCCTAGCTAATTTTTGTATTTTTAGTAGAGACAGGGTTTTGCCTTGTTGGCAAGGCTGGTCTCAAACTCCTGACCTCAGGTGATCCGCCTGTCTCGGCCTCCCAAAGTGCTGGGATTACAGGTATGAGCCACCACACTTGGCCAACTTTCAGATTTTTAACTTATTTATAGTCTCATATTATGGCATGGTTGCACAAAAACAATCTAGTCAATTTATTAATGCTCATTTTTTAATGTCATGCCAAAAAATATAGGCCACTGATGAGTTTGTCAGGTAACTGGCTTTTCATACATTAGGATGAAGATTTTTGTTTGTTTTCTTCAGCGTCAGGGACCTGGAGCAAGGTCTGATCCCAGCAGACAGTGTGTCAGTGTTTCCAGTGGCTGCTCTGTGCCAGGCCTAGCATTGACACCAACAGTGCATTTCATACCTCCCTGGCCTGTACACCACCTCCTTGCCCCGTGCCTCCATATCTTCACCTGTAAATGGAAATCATGGCAACCTCATTGGGCCTTTGCGGAAATTAAACAATAGGCAAAAAGTCTTCATACTTTGTAATGGGTTAAACAATTAAGTGTTATTATTGTTAGGTCTAGAACTGTATGCAGAATTTCCACATTTTAGGGAAATGAAGATAGATAAGAAGTTTTAACAGAGAGGGTCAGTGAGCTGTTAGTCCAGGGGAGTATCTCTGGTTTGAAAGGGTATGTCTGTCTCTGCATGGATTTCTAATGCCCTATTGCATGGGTCTGAAAATTAGAGTCCAAGTTGACTCAGATTTGCTTCTTAGGAGAAATAAATGGGGAGAGAGGGAGTGTATTTGGCTTCTCACTGAAGAGCTCTGCCCCTCCCGCATTCTGCCCCTAGCATCTCCCTAGCTCATGCCAGATGTCTCCCTGGCAATAGCTAAGCAAAACTATTGTCCTGTCCTGAGAAATAGCCCACATCCATCAGCAGGCCTGTATTTCCAGCTTGCCCAGATGAGTGAATTTTCTTCTCACTGTGACTTGTATATGCCTAGAGCTTCTTAACTCAAGAACCAAATCCCTCAGTAACCAATTTTACCAGGTCCTCAAAACTGCTTTTGCAAATAGGCAGTACAGCATGGGAGAATTTGGAGTGGCAGCAGGATTTTGAAATGTGTCTGCGTTAGCTCAGGGGCCCAGGTTAACCTGCAGGCCCTCCATAGATGTCTGCCATGTTAGGGCTACACCAGCCTCCTAGTGCCAATGAGGAAGAGGATGGGCAGAGACCCCAGACTCCTGTCAGGGCTGAGAGGGTGCAGCCGTTAGCCAGATGAGTCCTTCGCTGAGAACCTTTGGTCTGGGGGCTAAGCCACCATATCTGGAGGCCCAGCCGCCGGATGCTCTGCCAGCCCCCCAGAGAGGATGAGCTCTTGGATCATGTATCTGGCTCCCTCCTCTACTCCACTTGCTCTGGGGGCCTGGTTTTAGGGTAGGGTGAAGGTGCTGGATGGGTGGAGCTGGCCCAAGGGAGAAGAGTCAAAGCAGAACTATAAGGCAACTCAAGGGCACTGACACTGTGCAGCGTGGAGCAGGGAAGGCCCTAGGGCCACATGGCAGCAGTGCTTCAGCTTCTGAGGCTTGTCTAGGGGGTAAAGGACAGAAATTTGATTAAAAACGAAGCAGCATGGCTGGGCACGGTGGCTCATGCCTATAATCCCAGTACTTTGGGAGGCCGAGGTGGGCGGACTACCTGAGGTTGGGAGTTTGAGACCAGCCTGACTAACATGGAGAAACTGTGTCTTTATTAAAAATACAAAATTAGCTGGGTGTGGTGAGGCATGCCTGTAATCCCAGGTACTCGGGAGACTGAGGCAGGAGAATCACTTGAACCCGGGAGGTGGAGGTTGCAGTGAGCCGAGGTGGTGCCATTGCACTCCAGCCTAGGCAACAAGAGCGAAACTCTGTCTCAAAAAAAGGGGAAGCAGCAGCATGGGTGTAAATGAAAGAACTTGAACTAGCCACGAAGTCACGATGCGGAGATAATCTTTCCATCTTTGAAGTCATCCGGCAGAGATGGATGCCTGTCCTGGGTGTGAAGGGAGTGAAAGGGTGATGGGATGTCCCCTGCGCGTCCACCCATGCAAGGCCACAATGAGGTGAGGCCGGGTAACTACCAGAATTCTCGCTGGCTTTGTTTGAATTCTTCTGTTCTCTGCTCCACCCCAAGTTGTCCACAGGCCCCAATCTTGTCCTGTAGCTCAGTGTAGGCCCCCAGCAAACTCTGAGGAGCTCCTCAGAATTGTGTCCACTGGGCTGACCGAGCAGGTGCCCAGGTTCCCAGGTCGCACAATTCTAAAGTCACCCAGAAGGAGACTGGCAGTGTCAAGTGGGTCTTGACCAGAAACAGGACCCACTCTGCCACCACACTCTTTTTCCTCCCAGAGTGGAAAAAAAAAGTCTCCCCTGCTCCTGAACCATGACCACATCGCCAGGACCACGCCTATTGAGTAGCTCCATGCCCACACCAATGCTAGCCTTTCCCAGACCCCTGGTCACACTTGCTCTCCCATGCTCCTGTGTGACGAGTCTGCCCAGTGTGTTGCAAGGATGAGATGGCACATCAGAGAAGCTTGCTGTCTTGCCCAGGGGCCCCCATTTAGGTGGTGGAGGTAGAATTTGGAACCAGGTGTCCCTGACTTCACAGACAGAGCTCTTTCTCAGGCTGCCTCCTGCAGATTTCAGGAGCACATTAGAAAGCCAAGAGCCATTTGCAACATCTTGTTTAATCTAAAAGTTACACGATAATGATGGATGATGGACGATGCCGTTTATTAACTCTTAAAGCAATACATTCAACTAATCACCAGTTACCAGCAAAATTCACATAGACCATCTTGAGAGTTCTGTAATCATCTTCAGATTAATATGATTATAAAACAATATTTTTAAAAATAGAACTCACCTTTGGTTAGGTGTCCTGGCACTGCTGGTGATGGTGTCTTTCTCTGATGGTACCAGGAATGATGAAACTTCCTTAGAGCTCATAGCTGACAAAATGGGTGGGATGGTGAAATGCCTTTCTCTTCTGTACACCATTCCACCTGATTGTAACATCACAAACGACCACAGGCAAAATTCTAGAACCATGTCTGAAAGAGAGGGGAGCAGAGGCTGAATCTCATTTCCAGGACCCTGACAGGCACATTTAGCTCCTGTTTTCACTCCTCTGTCCTCACTCCCCTATCAACTTCTAAAACAGAGTAGCAAGATCAGCAGGCTGTGGCATGCCAACTCCACATGCTCATTGCTCTGGAGGGCTCAGCAAAGGTCCTTTTCAAGGTGACAACCCTCACTGTCTCCAGCCTGGGCTCTGCCCTTGCCTATACCCTTAAGAGCAGCCTGCCCTCCAGAACTGGGTGGGTGGCAGAATCACAGACACAACAGGAGAACCAAATCTTCACTTGACCCTTTGCAAGCTAAAGCAGTACATCGGAGTATGTTTTGCCTCTGCTTATTGTTGGGTGTTGCTTGCCTGGATACATGGCCCAGATGGATGACTTCTCTATTAGGT